CACCACAGCCACTACGCGACAACAATTTTCTGCGCTCCGCTGTCATAGAGCTGAAAATGGACAATGAATTTTAGGACGCATCATTGGTTGATTTTTCTCTGTTATTAACCAATGTCAGTGAAGGCAAAAAGTCGCTGATATTTCAGCGGCTTATGGAAAAAGCCAAAAACCGCTGACACAAAAGTCGCTCCGAACACGCCCTTAGAAGATATTGTTTGAGGTTCTCCAAAAATCACCCGATTGAGAAAAACAATCGACAGCTGTGAGGTTTGAACTCACGCGGGTAACCCCAACAGATTTCAAGTCTGTCGCCTTAACCACTCGGCCAAGCTGTCTCTATATAATCATAAACAAACATATGAAACCACTCCGAAGCTTGACATGGAAGGCCAACTGTGTTACTGATGAATACTAAGTACTTCGAAGTAGTTGTTGGCTGTGCTTCATTGTTTTAACAAGTAATACCTGCAATAGTTTATAAACCTGTTGAAATTGCACCGTTTCGAATAAGGGGGAAATCACAAGGTGGAACATCATTTGAAATATATTGAATAACGTGTGAAATATACCGGTTGCGGAATGACATATACCGGACATCTGGTGACACTGCTATTAATAGTAGTAGTATTTGGTATGGAGCGACACTAAATTTTCTCGTTCAGCAAACATAAACACCAAATTTCCTGGATTCGTGCAGTAAAATGTCGGGAAAAGCATGTAACTGACCGTTACTCCTTCGTGAAACTGGGCCGTTACGCCTTCGTGTGCAACCGTCCAGTACGTTTTGACCGCGATGTCCGATCACGACGACGTGCGTAAATAGGCTGCGGGTAGCTTACGTCATCGCATGTGTTGACCCCACGGGTAGGAATCGAAAGAGGACGCCAAGAATAAAGCAGACAAGGTATGAAACTCGGCAGGTTAGCCATGATCATGTTCACCATGCTGCATGATGACACACAGCCAGCCACGGAGTGGAAAGCTGGGCAAGCGGTGCAGGTGCAAAGCATCGACGATGCGGGTACGTTTGAATAGGCCCTTAGTAAAAGCCCCCATTTCTATCTTGAGTAGACAAATGGTCCAATGCAAAGATCACTCGGGTACATCGCAACGGCAACGTCACCGTAACCTACCACCCGAGTGGCGAAAAGGAGAAAAACATCGCCCCGAGTCGCCTTGAGAAACGTAAAAAAGTCAAACGAGCCAAGCGCGAGGTAACAGTCGCTTCAATCGCCACGAATGACAACCATGACATGGCTTATCCTTGGATTCAGCAGAACTTACAACTATTCCAGGCAGCTATGGAGGCTGACACAAAAGATGACGACGACGACGAGTCTGACGCTGGCATACCATCCAAGAAGTCTAAACCAAGTGGGGCCATTGTTCCTTATAACACTTCTCCACTTGACTATGGAAAACTTGTACATGACGTTTTTTGTGTTGACATGTAGCAGGCAGTGCTACAAGAGTTCGATGGCAAAAACATCAAGCGGTGGTGTTTCAATCTGCTGACGGACGAAAAACTGGTCGGCTGACCGTGGTTCGAGACGACGACTGCGATGTCCAGCACGACAGCGACAAGGACCACGAAAGCACCCACGTACTGCTTTCAGACATTCACGGTGCATTGAAAGACTTCACTTTTGGAAGTGATGAATGGTTGGAAATTCACTGACTGGACAGCATTGCGGTGGTGGCATCGGTGGAACACGCCCAAAACGCGCTTTAAGATCCAGGCCAGGGTGCGGTACGTCGACGGCAAAGGGCGACCCCACGACGGTACGAACGACCAGTGGATACAAAATTATGTTTTGCGGTGCATTCACCCCTAAACCGAAACCCCCCATGTATTGATTTAACGACTGCTTATGTGTAGGAGTGGTGACCAAGCGCCATCGCGATAACTCGTACGATATCCGCCACCTCAGCGACGAAGAAACCCAAGTTGAACACGTCGAAGCAGCTGACATCAAGTCTTTGTCCGTGTGGTTGCAAGCTATAGACTCGTACTGACTTTTTCTTTTTGGGTCGCAATATTGAGAGCCATAATCATAGCCTGGGGCGGTGGGTGTTGACTTCGGGAACGTCATTTGCCGTGGGAACATCGGTAGAATTCCAGCTGGACGACGCGGCTGAGTGGATCCCTGGCACGATTCATAAAGGTGTGTATAACGATATATATATATATTGCGGATTTGGTTCAAATGTCCAGCCCCGACATATCGAATCTCGCCGCCGAATTGAATCATGAGTCGACGTGATTGGCTAATCCATTTTTGAGAGGATCTGATTGGCTATCCAAAATTATATTCAGCCAATCAGAAGATCCAAAGAGATTCCATCTTGACTGAGATTACAAGACCACGCGAATTTTGGGAAGTTTCGATTATTCGAATTCATAATATTGAAATGCACAACGATACATTTCGATACAACGCTGTTGTCCGTGTCAGTTGTTTTGTCCTAACCAATCCAAAACCCGTCGATACGGTGATGTTTAAATAAAGCTACCACATCGATATCTTGGGCTCTTCAAACGTTGTTTACGGCTACAGTATGACTCCATAGCCAAGTCTGTTCGTTCTGCATAATGTATCACAACTAAAATGTTTTCCCATTTTTCATGAATTTATTCTGCCTCTTGATTGGTAGTTCGTCCGGATGGCAAGTACAACATTGCGTACATCGAGCACGACGACGACGACAAGGCAAAGGTGGCGACCAAAATTCGTCCTAATCGTGTGCGAAAGCACCAGTCGTTTCAATGGACTCGAGCCATGTTGGCACTCAGCACCAGTGCGACGCTGCAAGATGGTAATAAATGAGAACATTTAAAATCACGTTTTTATCGTAAAAACTTATGGATTTACATGCGACATACTGTGCGATATAGGAACACGAGTCGAAGTCACGTGTATCAAAGACGAAGCGGAGGTGTTCAAACGAGGGGAGATCGTGCGCACGCATGCCGACGAGACCAAGAGCATTCGGTATACAACACCACTTTCTACCACAATCGTGAATTTGTTTCCCCCTTGTTACAAGAACATCTCTATATTGACAGGATCATTTCTTGTTCCCATTATATTTGGTTAGCTACGACGACGGCAAGGTTGAAAAGCATGTGCTACCCAGTCGACTTCGCCCGTTGGCCACCGCGCTTTGCGTCGGTACACTGGTACGTCGAATAAAACAGCTCTCGACAGTCGCGTCGGTATATATATGTATAACTATTCCAAAAAATGTATTATAATTATCTCAATATAATTACAATAAAAATATAAATATATATTGTAATTAAACCAATATCGCTATTATATATATGTGTATATTGTAACTATCCCAATAGTATATACATATATATATGTATTGGAATCGGCAACATTTAATATATATACATTGGTCGAGGCTAATTGGAAAGATTATTGTTGCTGCAGGTGGATGTGACAGTGGAAACCAACCACACGACGGTCAAGTGCGCAGCACCCAAGCAAGGCACGATCGCGTGGGTGCATCGAGATTTTACAAGGGTCGTCCTAGCCATCCATTCAAATAAAGCACATGAAAACGAAGAAGAAAAAGAAGAAAAAGAAAAAGAAGAAGACCTTCTCTATTGCCCAGACATTCCCGTACGTCGTTCCCAATCGACAATATGCAGCGTCAGTCAGTTTGCCATAAATTCTTATAAAACTATATATATCTGTGTATATAGGTGGAAGCTCTTCGATTGCAGGGGTACATACTTTGGACGATGCCAATTGAAAACACGAGGATATTATTAGTCATCGTGGTATATAGAACGACTCGGCTGGACACGACGTCGTTGCGCGGGTATTCGTTATGGCGGCAATTCAACATGCTTGGCAACTTTGCCTTGGACGCGCTTGTCTATGGCTGGTTCCTCCTCGGTACAGAGTACACTTGTTGTATTCATCATCTGTCGATTCCATCTCGTTGCTGTCCGCCCACAATATCTTGTTTACCTTGCCTTTCAAATAATATACTATGCTTCATAGGCCTCGGCAATGAAATCGCCATGAGCGTCGAGGTACTGCAGCGAACAGCCGACGGCCGCAACGATGCCGCCATGCAAGCGTGGTACCACGATGCCTCGATCAGCCAACCCCCGCTCGTTGACTGTTTGGCCACGTATGTACGGGATATAGTGTATTTCGTTTTACTTGGACTTGTCGCTGCTTATGATTTTTATATTGTTGTTACTATGTACTTTGAAATTCATGATTCTGTACTCGTGTTTAATTCCTGTTAACGTTAGCTTTATTACGTTAAACGAGTCCTATACCGTAACTCGGGTATATATATATGATTCCTTTGAATTTACTCGTGTATGATTCCTGCTGGTTTTATTACGCTAAAGTGTTTTTCATCCATCTCTTCTCATCGACTGGTTGGCCACACGTACAAAATATGTTCACGATCACCTGTGTGTTTGTATTGACTAGTATATCCCAGGTTATGATTCCTCTTTTACTTGTTTACTCATGAATAATACTCAATATATATATATATCTACTTCCTTTCATTGTAACGTTACTGGTATTTTTACTGTGATTCCTGGAACTTGACTCGATTATAATTATTGCTGATTTAAACGCTAACTGGACGTAATGTAGCCATCCATTTCTCCAGAACACCACAACGCTGCTTGCAACTCCGCCGTACTTGCTCCTTCCAGAGATCCTCATGGGTCGGTACTGGCTCATAGCCCTTGTGTTATTGAAAGCTCTCGCGTTTGCATTTATTCTTGTCCGGGCCTTGCGCATACTCGTCAACACGGGCAACGCCGTGGCCTATCGGTACGCTTACATATACATATATATATACATATATATTTGGTGAATATAAAATGTATATGACCAAATAGGGCGATCAACCTACAACGGCACGCCCAAGACCAAATACATCAAGCCCAATTGTGGCGAGTGATGTTTGGTGCAATCGTTGTCTCTAGTGGCACTCTTCTCGTACGCCTTCTAGAAAAAAGAATATTATTATATTTTTGTGCTATTTTTTCACTGGACTAATTTGGATGAATTGGGTAGTGCTTTGGCTCGTTGGCCAATACTTTGGGGTACTATTGCTTGCTCGACCAATACCCGTTGGACCTGACCTACCACACATTCGACGTACGTCTTTTTCCTGCACCCAATAAGCTACGACCACTGACTACTTGCCAAAATTGTTAGTTCTCGACTCTGGACCCTCGATTGTAAGGACTATCGTGTTTTCTCGATATATTATTCAATATATCATTCGTGCAAACCCTCTAGTATGTCGAACAACTCGGCTTCGGTGGGTCCGTTGCTCGTCCACGTGACGGCCACAACCACGTTCAACTTGTATCGCGGCGTTTGCTTTCTGTTTGCATTGGTCGCATCCCCCGACTTGTCCATTCGCGTCTTCATGGTACAGTTGCGGCTTCCTTCCAACGTGTACATGTTGTTGTATTGTGCTTTCGAGTGAAATTTCATTGTGTTGTGGCGTGGTTTCTCGTTGGAATTTAAATCGATTTGATTGGCTATCTCAGATGAGCTCAAAATTATTAGCCAATCAAAACCTTTTCAATGAAATTCAACCAATCAGATCGATTGTGGATCGGTTTGGTTGGCGCGATTCGATTGCACCCCCTCCCCAAATTTGTATCAAATCGACAATAGTACGAATCAATCAATATATGTCGTATGAGCTAAAATTTGGATATGGGTGTGTGTGTGCTCATGCACGAAATGCATCGATCGAGTTTTTGTCTAGAATTGTAGAATATAATATTGTGCATGGCAAATGTGCGACGCCGTTCACACTATTTGAAGTCACACACTAATTTCCGCGGATGCAGGGTACTTTGCTTGGCCATTTGATTCGTGTTTTGAGTTTGGATATATCGGTCGGTCGATTGTCTGCCGAGTTGTTCGATCATTAGATTTGTTATATATAAAAGTGAATGATTTTAAATCAAATTGAAACCAGAATGAATTAATTATATATTAGGTTTTGAATTCCCCACTCCCAAAGTCGTCAGACGACATCAAATGCTGTGCTACTAGTATACCAACATCGTCTACTAAACATGTGCATATCCTCGTTTTTTGGTGCATTGTATGATGTAATCGACAATCTTTCCACCTAACCCTAGGAATGCATGACGTAGCCTGGCTAGGATACACAGGATTATCAAAAGCTGCTCTATTTATATTTTGATGTTTCGAGTACGTTATTGATGTTGTGTTGAGTGTAGATGGTTCCTGCGATCGCTATGACTGCAGTAGCGTGGGCGCTTGTGCTCACTAGTATGCAGTTGTTTCTGGCGGTGGAACACGACGTGTTGTGGCGACTGGGGCACCTCGGGCTCACGCCGTTGCATGTAAAATATTAAAACTATATTTCGATCCTACGAACCTTTGATATATATATATATATATAATATTTGATAGGATATGGCGCTGTGGTGTATTGTGGCTGCGACGTGGCTCTCGATCCTGTTGTTTCAAGTGTTTCAGACCGTGGGCGAGTACAATCGGTTAGTTGCCGCCCACCACCGCGCGATTCGATTGCACCCCCTCCCCAAATTTGTATCAAATCGACAATAGTACGAATCAATCAATATATGTCGTATGAGCTAAAATTTGGATATGGGTGTGTGTGTGCTCATGCACGAAATGCATCGATCGAGTTTTTGTCTAGAATTGTAGAATATATTATTGTGCATGGTAAATGTGCGACGCCGTTCACACTATTTGAAGTCACACACTAATTTCCGCGGATGCAGGGTACTTTGCTTGGCCATTTGATTCGTGTTTTGAGTTTGGATATATCGGTCGGTCGATTGTCTGCCGAGTTGTTCGATCATTAGATTTGTTATATATAAAAGTGAATGATTTTAAATCAAATTGAAACCAGAATGAATTAATTATATATTAGGTTTTGAATTCCCCACTCCCAAAGTCGTCAGACGACATCAAATGCTGTGCTACTAGTATACCAACATCGTCTACTAAACATGTGCATATCCTCGTTTTTTGGTGCATTGTATTGGCACTCTTCTCGTACGCCTTCTAGAAAAAAGAATATTATTATATTTTTGTGCTATTTTTTCACTGGACTAATTTGGATGAATTGGGTAGTGCTTTGGCTCGTTGGCCAATACTTTGGGGTACTATTGCTTGCTCGACCAATACCCGTTGGACCTGACCTACCACACATTCGACGTACGTCTTTTTCCTGCACCCAATAAGCTACGACCACTGACTACTTGCCAAAATTGTTAGTTCTCGACTCTGGACCCTCGATTGTAAGGACTATCGTGTTTTCTCGATATATTATTCAATATATCATTCGTGCAAACCCTCTAGTATGTCGAACAACTCGGCTTCGGTGGGTCCGTTGCTCGTCCACGTGACGGCCACAACCACGTTCAACTTGTATCGCGGCGTTTGCTTTCTGTTTGCATTGGTCGCATCCCCCGACTTGTCCATTCGCGTCTTCATGGTACAGTTGCGGCTTCCTTCCAACGTGTACATGTTGTTGTATTGTGCTTTCGAGTGAAATTTCATTGTGTTGTGGCGTGGTTTCTCGTTGGAATTTAAATCGATTTGATTGGCTATCTCAGATGAGCTCAAAATTATTAGCCAATCAAAACCTTTTCAATGAAATTCAACCAATCAGATCGATTGTGGATCGGTTTGGTTGGCGCGATTCGATTGCACCCCCTCCCCAAATTTGTATCAAATCGACAATAGTACGAATCAATCAATATATGTCGTATGAGCTAAAATTTGGATATGGGTGTGTGTGTGCTCATGCACGAAATGCATCGATCGAGTTTTTGTCTAGAATTGTAGAATATAATATTGTGCATGGCAAATGTGCGACGCCGTTCACACTATTTGAAGTCACACACTAATTTCCGCGGATGCAGGGTACTTTGCTTGGCCATTTGATTCGTGTTTTGAGTTTGGATATATCGGTCGGTCGATTGTCTGCCGAGTTGTTCGATCATTAGATTTGTTATATATAAAAGTGAATGATTTTAAATCAAATTGAAACCAGAATGAATTAATTATATATTAGGTTTTGAATTCCCCACTCCCAAAGTCGTCAGACGACATCAAATGCTGTGCTACTAGTATACCAACATCGTCTACTAAACATGTGCATATCCTCGTTTTTTGGTGCATTGTATGATGTAATCGACAATCTTTCCACCTAACCCTAGGAATGCATGACGTAGCCTGGCTAGGATACACAGGATTATCAAAAGCTGCTCTATTTATATTTTGATGTTTCGAGTACGTTATTGATGTTGTGTTGAGTGTAGATGGTTCCTGCGATCGCTATGACTGCAGTAGCGTGGGCGCTTGTGCTCACTAGTATGCAGTTGTTTCTGGCGGTGGAACACGACGTGTTGTGGCGACTGGGGCACCTCGGGCTCACGCCGTTGCATGTAAAATATTAAAACTATATTTCGATCCTACGAACCTTTGATATATATATATATATATAATATTTGATAGGATATGGCGCTGTGGTGTATTGTGGCTGCGACGTGGCTCTCGATCCTGTTGTTTCAAGTGTTTCAGACCGTGGGCGAGTACAATCGGTTAGTTGCCGCCCACCACCTTCGAGGTACTATCTATACATTGTAGCCTATATTATATATATATATTTGTACCTATATTTATAAACGTTTGATCGCTGAACTAAAGTGTACAATTGACGTAGGGGCATCCGACGAAGTGGCGGTGAAACAAGTAAACTTGATCGTCTTTGTTGTATTGGGTGGCAGTTTGGTGTTCATTAGGGTCTTCATATTGTGCATTTCACCCAAATTTGGACTTTTGACTCATTTCGCCAAATAAGTAGCATTCGATTCCACTTGATCAAATTTAAGCTAGTACAATCTATACTATACAAATAGTAGTATATCTGATTTGCCCGATGCGAGGGACTGACTGGGTGGAAGTTAGTAGTATTGGATTGACTTTGGCAGTTCTTTATTCTCTCAAGGCATTCGATTCTGTCGTGGACTCCCAGTTTCGAATCGATTTGATCATATGTATTTGTTTCTGGTGCAGAGTATGATTTCAATCGGATGCCCGCTGAGTGATTTTAACTTTACAGCGTCATATCAATATCAATATGTATGATTTCAATCGGACTTGTGATTTTTGTTACTATGTATGTAGGCGGAAGAAGGGATGCTAGGGGTCCACGCCCAAGAAGACGCTGTTCAAATCCGAACGGAGGAGATGCAAATTCAAGTGGGCATTTTGCAAGCGATCAGTGCGACGCTGGTGCCAGGGATTGGGGTTCTTGTCAACGTACTCGCTGTGTTCTGGTACGGCCTATCTTTTGCTGTGGTTCTAATATATATATATATATATATATATTGTGGTTATAATATATATATTTGTATCGAAGAATTGACAACCTAATACATGGTTTCTCAGGCTGCTTATCGGTGTGTCCATGCTGTACCATAACTCCCAAGTGGACATTCCGCCGTGGATGGTGGGTACATCAGTGCCTCTCACTTGTGCGTGGCTGCTGGCGTTAACTGTGGCAACGTTCCTGTCGTGTTGCAAGGAGGTATATATATATATATAAACATATTGATGTTTACATTTGTATGAAAGAAAAAATGGTGATTCTATCGTTTTGGTCGAGTGGTCAAGCTTAATATGTATGTGTTCGTCTATATATTGCAGAGAAAGAGCTGGAAACTGTTGAAGCAGGCCAAGACGTCGCGGACACGACCACCCGTGCTGTTACCGTGACACCATTCCACTGCATAATTGGTGACCACAGTTAGGAGGAAGTCATTTAAGCTATTAATAAAGGTCCCAAGTTTCTCAGCTGGTTTGACCAATCGTGTTATTGTCGTACCATGAATTGTAGACAATTTTCAGGACTTCTAGAACGTGGTTGCCAATTGTTGATGTATTATTTTAACCTCTACGAGTATACATATTCAGAGGTTTGTTCTGTGATTGGCTTAGTTTTATACGTCATTAATTGGCACATACACCATTAATATTGGTGTATGAGGTCGATGTTTTTGAATTGGCAGAAACGAACAATCATATCAAATTAATATGAATACTTCTATGGTATACAAAGTCATTTAGTTATGCCACTCGTTGCTGTGTTGAAGAATTGATTGGCCAATTAACTGTAAAACAACTTCGGAGTACTCGAAGTTATTTTGATTAACGTTACTACGTATTAATACTACATGTATAGATAAAATGGCTGCTGTGACAAATTTATCCGACAACAATCTGATTGGTTAAAAGTAGTCGCCTATTGGCTTTCATTGGCAGATGTCTCTTCCATGTCAATACAACGAGCAAGTATCTTGGTTTTTTCGAATGTATCAATTACAGAGTCCTGTTTGCTGGCGGGGGCTAAAGGAGCACTGTACACGTACTATTATAGTACGTTCAATATTACGTGGAGGAATTACCTTGGTTACTTTGCGCAACACAAGCCACTCATCAGGCATGCTTACCTCGTTCCTTGCTCGCCAACGACCCGAAGTACAGTAAACACTCCGTGGACATCGTAGCGAGCGTGACTATTCACTGTAAAGAACCCTACCGCTGGAGATCATGTGCACTTCTAGATTTACATTGATAACTCGCTGGTGCACGAGTTTGCCACCATAGAATATGTAAGTTTGTGAGCTCGTAATTACTTCCCATCGTCTCAATCGACTCTGTGATGCGTGTTTTGTGATACCTGTGAGGTCGCTCGCAACAATATAAGTGATCTTAGTAGTTGTAGTATTGAAAATATGATTATTTAGTGTTGTGGTGGAAGGGGGCACTTATTGAAGGGAGGTCGCAGTTAGTTTTATAAGCATCCCCACTGTGCAGATGCTAGCAGTGGGGATGCTCGTAACCACTGTGTGCTAACAAGTACGGTGGTTCACGTTGCGAAAGTACGTGGATATGCAGAGCTGGAGAACGTGGTTAGTGTCGTTTGTTGAATGAGGGGCAATTGGAATCACTACTGGAAGTAAGGTGGTGTTGGCGTAGGTACAGTAATGTTCAATCAGGACCTACCTAAACCGCAACCATTACTCTTTGCCGCGTTCGTACGTTTTAAAAGTCGCAAACGTTATTGTGTGGAATGGGCTATAAAAGGGATCCCACCATTGGTCCCCATGCATCATGGTGGGACGCCGGCTGAATGCCACCGACTACAACAGTACTCCTGGTGGTTCGTGCCGTTTTACTTATGCTGATCGACACCGTTTCGTGTGCAATGTCGGCTCGGCAGTATTTCAACCAATAGAAAGCCGTACATGTTAAATGGTAGTGATATGTTGCTGCTGCGACAACCGCCTCGTCCAATCGGATTGTCGCAAAAAATACTGACCAATCCGAATTCAATCATTTGTCGGTCATCCAATCACGGCCGAATTTAATCGGTTTTGTGTCGTGTCTGTACTATATGTAGTAGTATTAATAGCATTAATTAACTGGATAATACCCTGGATATCCGGACTTAGAGCTCAATTTTGACCAATCCAAAGCAAGCTTCACCAACTAATTGACCAATCATCGGTACGCTGGGTTCGAGTGATTTACTGGTGCCCACGGTCATTTTCGAATCATGGCGCTGCTTTTCCGCGGAACCGCCGCCGCGAGCCTGGCTGGCCGCATGCACGTCCGCTCCATTGCGTTAGCCTCTCGCTTCCCAGAGACTGTGTTGGAACTCAAGGACCCCGAAGGCAAGAAGGTAGGACACAAGCAACGCCAGCATTCATTCTCTCGCAGCCATGATGACGCATTCCTTGTCGAGCAATCTCCCTCCACACCGCATATACGTATTCAATCTTCTATCGTGTTCTGTAGCCGCTTGTTCCGTTGAACGTGGCGCTTGCTGCGTGCAAACAAGGCGCCGTCCGCAAGTTTGACGAGGTGCGTCTGTCTGTCCCGTTGGTTGCTCTCAATCGTTCATATCCGTGACCACATGCGATGATCGTAGACCGTGGATATTGTCGTGGAACTCGGTGTGGACCCTCGCAAGCCCAACCAGAGCGTCCGCAGTGTGGTCACGTTGCCCCACGGCACCGGCAAGGTCGTCCGCGTGGCAGTGTTCGCCAAGGGCGACAAAGCAGGTACCTACCTAGCGTACGTTGCATGTGGAATGCTTATGTTTGTCCAGACGAGGCACGCGCGGCGGGCGCGACGATCGTGGGCGCCGAAGACCTTCTCGCCGACATCCAAGCCGGCAAACTGGACTTTGACCGATGCGTGGCCACCCCCGACATGATGGCGTTGGTCGGTCGGGTCGCTCGCGTACGTTATGTTACAAAACCACCCTACTCGAGATCGTTTAGGTTAACGAAATGTATGTTTTCTCGAAATGTAGGTCCTCGGCCCCCGTGGCCTGATGCCAAACCCCAAGCTTGGCACGGTAACGCAAGACGTGACGGCGGCTATCACGGTATTGAATCGCGGCCTTTGAATGATCCAATACAAATCGATTACTGCTGCTAAAATGGTTGTTTTACCCTCTAAACTGGTTGTTTTACCCGTTGGTTTCGACCATAAATGGTGGTATTCGAGCTACAGTGGATTTTTACGTGCTAACATGGTTGTTTTACGTGCAAGCATGGTTGTTTTACGTGCAAGCATGGTTGTTTTATGTGGTAAACTGGTTGTTTTACGTGCTTTTTGTTCTAGGCGGCCATGGGAGGCCAAGTGGAATTCCGCGCCGAGAAGAAGGGCATTGTGCACGCCGGCGTGGGCAAAGTGAGTTTTTCAGATGATGCGTTGCTCGACAACATTCGTGCGTTTATGGTACGTTTAACTATTATTATTAATATTAAAGTGATAACTTTGTAATTTTGTAGGTGGCTGTGGGAGAAGCCAAACCCGAAGGCGCCAAGGGCAAATACGTGAAGGCGTGCCACTTGAGTAGCACCATGGGCCATGGCATCCGGTTGGACCCGCGCCAGTTGGACCCGTCGTCGCCGCAATTCATGCGATTTACTTAGATAATTTTCAATTTCAAACCAGCATCGTTCTGACTTTATAGTTAGTGTTATGATGATACTTCAGTATACATGTACTATAAATCGGTGGGAGATAATAAGTTTGGACATTTGCAGCAACGGACATATACCGTGTAGCCATATGTTGTCTAACATGGTGCCGAGAATGCTAAATTTTGAAGTCGGATTGGCCAATTTCATTGTTTTTCGACCAATTAAACCACCCGTTTTCAAAAACATGATTCTGATTGGTGTAAGTATAGGCAACTTTAAAAATATACTAATTCTGGAGATAGTGTTAGAGTCTAACTCGTAAGTTGAGAAGTTTTGAATTGAACAACCCAATAATCAAAGTCTCGAGATACGCGTGTGAACACAGTAGAACTTGAGTTTAACTGTTTGGAACACTAACTTGTTGAATGATTAGTATGCTAGTACTACGTAGTAGTATTTAACAACTAAGTTAATAGCTATCGTATAACGTTAATGTGAAACTTCACAGACCCTGCCAGTGAAATGTTGCTGATGCCATAAGTCGTACCATATCCGTTTCCGCCAGTTTCGGTGGCATTGGGTACTTAGCATTGACTCCATCAACTACTACTACATACTACGTAGTACTAAACATAGTAACTGCATTCCTCGTGGAAAATGATATCTGTATGTGTTGTTGGAGGGAGACCTTCATTCCCGTATGGTGGCTTATTTTTTTGGCCAAGTGGGCATGACATCATCCACGATAGATGTCGTGACCTTGTTGTCGGCGTGTGTGGACTTGGGTGCGTTCGCAGGCCAAGTCATCCGAGACGTCGTCGCATCCGGAGAATCTCTGCAGACTGTCAACAAGGCGGACACCGCCGCGGTGTCATTCGATCCACAAACGGTACGACCCTCGAGCTACTCCTGTCCACCATTGCCGCCGATAAAGCCAGGAAGATTCTTGGCTGTGCCCTGGTTATGTGTTGGCATACAAAATAGCCATCCCAACTGACGGGACATGTCCTTGCTTTCTTAGATTGCAGACACGCGAGCCCAACAGCGCATCGTCGAGTCTCTTCGCCGCCACTTTGGCCCTGACCTGATCATCGTGGGCGAAGAAGGGAACCTGGACGCCCCGGCAGAGGACGACGTGATGGTACCTTGTACAACCTTACTAACCCACGACCCGTTCCCAGTCGAGTTGGCCGACGTGGTCGTGTGGGTGGATCCTCTCGATGGCACGCGAAAGTTTACCGAAAAACAGTACGATCACGTGTCAGTGCTGCTGGGCATCTCGTACCGTGGCCGCCCCATTGCAGGTATTTCGCTCGGTTTTCTATATATTTGGTCATGTAGAACTCCTTTATCCTTGTTCCTATCGAACGCTAGTTGGGGTTGTGGTGGCAGGGTATAAATGAATCGAGTTAGTCATGATATCGACACAAGTCGGTTTCAGCTGTTGTATATACGTATATATGAGCAGCGTATATATATATATATAAATATTGCCTATCTAAGTATTTCCTAGTATCATTATTGTCTACACTGTACTATGATAATGTGGAATCTCATGCTTATCGATCTCTCTCTTATGTACATAAATGGGAAAGGAGCAGGTCCACATCGCCGATGGAATTTGTACGATGATATACTGTACAGTATACATAGATCCGTTAAATTTGGACGTGTAATGTACAGTACATGTACTACAGTAATATAGTACCTTTGGTCGCTTGGTATTCAAACTGGATGTAGCTTTGACAGTCAATAGTCGAAAGATTAGTGAATTCCACCAATATTTTGCATTTCACCCAAATTTCGACTTGTGGATTATTTCGCGAATTCGCATTCGAATCCATTAAACTTTTGTAGCTTGTATGATCCAACGATTAGACTCTTTAGTTTGGTTTGGTGAAGAAGCATCCGACGTTTGGATTGGCAGAAATTCAATAGAATCACATGATTTGATTGGCTATCGCGGTTCATGCATCCATGTTTGGACGACATTCCATGATTCCACTTTTTCGAATCCATTTGTCCTTTTACCCAAAACATTTTCGACTAGTTTTATACTGACTCGCCAAATCTACTATCGATCGATTCTTTGTATTGCTGAAATTTGTATGTCAAAACGTGTCGTCTGTGGTGATTGGTATATCACACTAATTGAAGTATCACACACGAATTTGACGTTGAAGATGGTTGTTGTTTCCTACAATCTGATTGGCTAAATTCTGATTCTTGTATACATTTGGTTGTGTCGATTCATGATTCTGCCAATGAAATCGCTCCAGTTTAGAATATAAATACAATATAATAATTTATGGTTGTAGGCGTGATGCACCAGCCGTTTGTGGGACAAGCTGGCGGCGGCACCACATACTACGGTGGGTCTGCTGTCGGCGGTATCTTCAAGTGTGTGTCGCCTTCCATCCACGACCACCATCCTTCCTTTGACCGCGTGGTATTTCCCAGTGAAAACCGCTCCAAAACCAGTATCGCCCCCATTGTCGGGTACTCAGAAACCCCCTGCCGCCATCTTCATGCGATCCTGCCCTTGCTAAATATGCCAAGTCTATCCAAAGGCTCTACGGGCATCCTGCTGCTGGACGTTGCGCTCGGCCGTATCGACGTGTACCTTCGGCATGCGGACCGCACCAAGCGGTGGGACTCGTGCGTCGGCGAAGCTTTTTTAAACGTGCGCGGCGGCATCTTGACTGACCGGCACGGCCGACTGTACTCGTATGAAGCAACCACAGACCCGGCAAACTCGACGGGAGTGGTGGCGTGCGTGGATAAGATCTTGCATGCTCAAGTCGTGGCACAAATAGCCTCGTACACTGCGAATGCATTGAACTAAGTAGATTTCACAGACAACACAATCGTCGTCCGAGTTGTAGAGGATATGCACCATATAATCAAATCAGGACGATTCTGTAACGTGTTAAGTGCAAAACTCGGCTGAGCAGGTCGGGCTGTCAAGTTCAGGCGGTGGTGGACTTGGTATATACAGGGATTTCTACGGAATATGTATGGACGAAGAGATAATTAAAAAAAGATTGAGCATCATCCGACAAGGGGTGCAGAAGTTAGCCTCCCCATAGCCCAAACGGGCGGTATCATCTTTGGTTGTTGGCGCACGAGGTCTTTGTTTTCCCATGCGTCGACATATTGGGAGGATAACTAGCGTATTTTGCGCCATGATGTTGAATATTATAATGATGTTTTTCACTGTAAACTTACTTTGTGTTCATATTACACACCGCTGCTATGCGTACTTTATTTCCGATTCTTATGGCATCATGACTTTTGTATATCGTTGTACTATTATTTTTTTACGCTTTCCTTCTGGAGTACCCGGTAATACTGTATGTACTACCGTGAAGTAGAATTATACTGGTAGTACCATGCTATTGTGTATTAATTACTACTAGTATATCGGTGTACTATTTTGTTTTTACGTTTTCCTCAAGAGTACATATGTATAAAATACTTACCGGAAACCCTTTTTTTCTTGAAATACAGTTATAATGCTCAATATTTCTTTACGCAAGTAATCGTATTAGAATTTACTGTTACAAGTATTACATATTTTAGAGCATCTCCACCGCATCCCCAAATATTTTTGTCCCCATCCCTAAAATAGAGCCAGTTCACTGTTTTTGGGATGTCTGCAAAAAATCTTCCGTTTTGGTAGCTGTCCCCTTCCCAATTGACCTCAAGCCGGAAGTGCATGGTATCACATCGAGAGGCTGCCAAGTTCACCTTGGAACAGAGTTATGAACGGTGTTTGCCTCTCTCTAGTGGTAGTTAACTTTTCAGAGATTACGACTGGATGGCATGTCGATGGTGACCATCGCCTTGCTATTGAGTTTCCCAAGGTCGGTAATGCCGGTACTTGCAAGCCTACTTGACCGTAGCGATTCTGTAATCCCACGCACCAAGTTATAGAGTGTAATTGTTGCTGCGGACTCTTGTCCGTGATGCGCGACCACATAGCTTTATACGGTTGCGCCTCTTGGATAAACCCGCGTCCGCCGCAGCGTAGGAACGAGAGTCACCAGCAATCACTGCCGCAGCGATATCGGCCAGATATCGCTGTATCAATGAATGCTGGTGACTCTCGTTCAGCCACATCGTCCGCGTGCCCGACGACGGCGAGACGTGGTTCACGATACCGACCGCCAGTCGCCGTGTCCAAAGCCGACATCGGGAACTGCACGAATGGACTTGTCGAGTTGGGACATATTTGGGAATGCGGTGGAGATGCTCTTAAACTCGAACTTTGCGTCTTTAAATTCTCTTCAATTTAATGCTGAATGGGGAAACGAATGTGTCCAAGAGAAAAACAACTGTCAAGCTAACAAGTTAAGCTACGTTAATCCTTGAAGCTAATAAAACTCCTTACTCGGAGAACGGATGCCTCCTATTTTCGAATATAGAGATGTTTTGGACCTCATATTTTTGCAGGCTTTAGGTGACGCGCACTTTATAAAAAATCGAGTCGAATTCATTCTATAACTCGTGGATTTTTTATGGACTCCGAGTAACAAATTAGAGGGGTTTTGAACCTCATTGCATTCGGGCATTTATAGTGGTGCCCCGCCATAATGGTGGTGACAAAACCAGAGTTACCTCGTAACCATATTTGTGGTAACTGTAACATTTAATGTATTCTCGGCACAATTGAGCAATTGTATGGAATTATGGTGCACGTCACCTATAAACTACGAGCTTTTCACAAAATTTTCTTTTTGCTATTTCGTTTTCATTTCTCAAAATCTTGACGTGGTGAAGAAATTCTACGTCTCAGATATAAAGTTGGCGAAGAAATGGTCAAGAAATATACATTTAGGGCGAGTCTGGATGCCACGAAAAATGGCATAAAATGGCCATTTTTCCAAGAAATGTGACCAAAATCGAAATATTCCATTTTTCGAAATTTTGTGTGTTTGGATGCCACCAAAGTTCAAAACTTGATGCCACAATTTATGGCATACCATAGTAAGAAAATGGACCAATTTGGTCCATCTTTTTTATGAAGGTTTGTGTTTACGTTGAAGTCTTGCACTTCAATCACAAATCGAATAATTTTTCCATAATTCAACTGGCATCCAGACAACTTTCTTTTCTACTTTTTTCATGGGATATGAGACTTTGGGAAAAAAAGTTGCAGGCTTGCCAAAACGGTTTATGGCATAATTTTATGGGGTGACATCCAGACCAGTTCTTAACCAAGGTGTATTTTGCATGGGCGAATTGAATTTGGCCACAGAGATGATTCAAGACTGCAGGTTATTTGAAATAATATGACCTGCAGTAGGTTATATTATATATAACCTGCAGTCTTGGACTGGGATGATGCGAAACCAAAATGTCGATATTCCAGACCATACATCGATTATTGTCAAACATGTGCGGAATCGATGCGGTCTGGACAAGTTAGTTGCTAAACCTCTCTATTATAGAATTATATATTCTAACACCAAACAGTCGAGTGTTACATTTGTATGCCTTCAAATGTATTTTTGTGTGAAATTATGAGACTGTTACGCCATCTATAGTGTGTGCTAAACAAAGCAACAACTAGTTTATCGCAGTCTGGTGCATCAAGTCCATGAAATGTTGTCGCCAAGGCAACAAGTCCGCCTTCCCCCGTCGGAACACTTCGCGCCGCACGTACGCAACCTTATGGTCTTCGTCCTGAATACCCGTGATGTCGATGCCCCTCACCGCCGCAATCTCGTCCACACTCACAAACCCGTCGTTGGCTCGAAATAAGTGCGAAATATGGCTCACAAAGCGCAGCAAAATGTGCGTTGGCGATACCTGCCGCACCTCGGTCCTACATGTAAAACGATAAAGCTAAGCAGTCCCGCCGTCCACAACAGCAAATTTGCACGAAATACAACACAATACCACGACATGTAATGCTGCTGCTTCTGGACCGGGTCACACACATGCGCTTCGTCGTGTTCGACTTGGCACATGACCAGAATGAACCGGTTGGCTTCGACGAAGTGTCCTTGCAGCCAGTTTATGAACGAGCCTTTGCGACTAGTCGTGTGAAACAGTCGCGTGTTGGCTGTTTTCTCTTCCACCACCTTCCAACACCAACGTTATGTAGGATCATGGATGGTTGGCCGTTGGCCCTTTACTGTATTCAAGTACAAAAAGCCAAAGTAACTTTACTTGCAATTTCGACATGGTTGTGAAAGATCACCGCCTGCATGTTGGACTCGACCAAGCGTCGAAACATTTGCACCGTGCCTGGCCACGTGTACTGCATCCGCTCCATACACGTAAATGGTTGATCCGACGCTTGAAAGTCAAATTGGAAAAACTCCTCGTCATAGCTCACGGCAGGAAGCAACGTGAACGGCTCGTGTATGTTGTGATACAGTTGCTGTGTGAGCCACTCCTTGCCCAGGTTTCGAGCACGCGCGTCGGCCACCAATGTCGCGCTGTGCCACACATTGCTGCGGGACATGGGCGGCTACATACATATACATACGCAACGATCTTACTCGCCTCGTCGTTCGATGGAAATGTGAAGACGCACCGGAATGTTCATTGTGGCAAAGCGTTGCATGGCGTTCGTGAGCGATTGATACTCTTGCGTTTGAGAGACCAGTGACTGACGGTCTGTCAAGACACGATGGGCTTCTCGTTTGAATACGGTTGCAATGGAATGCCACGACAACGGACCATCGCTTGCTTCACGCGGCGGCGGCGGCATGCTGGCTTGAAGGCCATCAAGGATCGACTGAAGGTGCTCGAACTGTGCTTTGACAATCACCCCGTCAGCATAAAACTTGCGGCGATACTCGCGCTGTTTTTCTCGAAAGTATCGACGCCGAGAGTGTCTTGTCGGCGGCAACCTCGACCTTGGACGACGCGCCTCTGTTGGATGACATTCTTGTAACGTTAATACGTTTTAGGTTTTACTTTCTAGGATTACTTTGCTTGCCTCAATACCATTTTACGGTAGTACACTTTATCGGTTTATACAGGTTTGGGAGAAATTACTTTACCATCAATACACCGTAAACCTGTAATATCCAATATTCATATACTACCCGATTTACGAAGCAAATACGAAACAGAATCCATGCAGCACTCACGAAACATTTTTTTCGTTTTCAAAATCCTTCAACTCCCACTGAGTATACTTTAATCGAGTGTTTCGTGAATGTTTCGAAAATCAGTGGTATTTTTCTCTATACTTAAGGCACTATACAAAAACAAGCATACAATCGATAACGTTACTTCCGTGTTCACACAAATTCAGGTTCTTTGAGCGTCACAAATGCATGATCGTCATTGTTAGTGTCCAAGGACTGGGTAACGTCAAGTGTACGAATACAACATTGCCTAAACTACTGTACCGGTGGCTTTATGCATGGGAATGGTGTACCCGTCTACAACTAACGCTAAGACAAATTGGTTACTAATACCAACAGCTACCCACAGTATGACGTTAGTAGGACCAGGTGGTGTTAGTTTGGGGGCGTGTACCGGTAGTTTGGTTGTGGAAGGCTGCCTATCCCTCCACCTCCACCATAAGCTTAATGCAACTTGCATTCGTCTCACCTCCGTTCGCCATCCCATACTCGTCGAACTCGCCGTGCCTCACTCATAAGCATATATTTCGAAGTACTACACTGTAACTGAACTGTACATACATGCTTGCACCAACATAAAAATTAACATCAAATCTTGTCCAGTTATTCACAATGTATTGGACCAATAGTATCGTCTCTTGCCACTTGCATCATTCAAGCCTCTGTCTTGGGTGATGGATGCCTTCATGTTGGCAACACGACAACTTCGTCGAATTGACTCGTGGCTAAAATATGTCCCTTGAATTGTCCCCTACTTTTGACGTGTTTAGCTTGGAAAATGGGATATTAGGACGCGATACATACTGTGAAAATCGATGTTTCAGTGCGTCCTGGAAAAACATGTGTTTACTATTGAATTATTAACGTAAAGGTCCAATTTAAGAACACTTTTTCCGAGATGCTACCGAGGAAGGCATGTAACTCCTCTCATGGGAATCGGATTATAGCTCTACAATATGTTACATGAAGACAAAAGCCAGGTCTACATATTCGGGAGTTATGAATGAGATAATATGATTCCTGTTATAATTCATTATCATTCGCACCACTTTGTCTACAAACAGCCTAAAACAAGAAAAGCTTACAATTCTATCGATTTGTTCACTTGAAACACGTTCAAAGCCGCATTCAGGCTAAATCACTGTTGAAGTCACCAAAACAGCAAAATAAAATATTTCAGAGTTTTGGCAACTGGAGGGTACGCGAAACGACCAAAGCAGGAAACCTCAAATGAATTTGCAGAACTACCAAACAGCTCGATAGCACTAGCTCTTGCCATATCTAATAGACACACTAGGTGTTGAGAACTTTCGATTGGCCTTACGACAAGACGCAACAACCTGGAAGGCATGGGGTAGTTAGTGACTTCAGCTCAAACCTGTTCGGTTATTTTAATCGACTTGGCATTGAATTGTGATAAATTTTTAAAACCAATTGATATAATAATATAACATTGCCTCAAATATGACTTCGTTAGCTATCTATGAATGTACATGACTTTGACATCGAGTTGCTCTCTGACGCCTTGTCTACGAGCGGTGTGATGAATATAGATATTGCAAAATTAATTGCGTCCAATAGCTCTAGTAGTCAGTCATACAATGACCATTGTGTATACGATAATGTCTGCACTATTGACAATACAGACTCATGAAGTGTGTTTTGGTGGCAATCCTGACACAACGTTACAAAATACAAGATAGTCGTCTATGCTAATTCTACATATATAAAATTGGTGTGGTCGGCACTAATTCTTCAAGTCAATAATTGTTGAGGATTGATATATAGTGCGGTCCACACTAATACTGGGCATGTGCCGTTGGTCTGGTGCCGAGGTTGAAAATTAATGCGATCCGCACTAATATTACGATGTACTAAATTTCCGTCAAAGCGGTTAACGTAAATAATACCATGCTCTATTTGTTAAAAATATATATTTATCTGCTTTTACAAGCTCTTGTACACACCCTTCCCCAGGGTTGCATGTACATACGTATATGAAGAGAAGTGCAATGGTAGAGTCATCTGCTTTTAATTAATAGTACACTGTTTGTTCTCATCATTTGAGCGACATGCTATTGCGAACTAATCAAGTGCAATGGAACCACGAGTTTCAATGTAGTGTGGCGCGGGGTTTCGGGGTCCGAGTAAGAGTTTATAGGAAAAAACAATTAAACCTAATACTTTGAGGTACCCATTATTTCAATAAGTGGATTTAACAACAATGATTCTAGTCTTGAGTGCTGCCAATGTAGTGTAGCAAGCATTTTACGACGGTCCACGCACCTATTATTGGTTTGAGAGTTCTTATTGATGATAGGGATAGCGTAATAATACAGCTCCAACTAACTGTTAGTATAAGATGACTACTCTCATGAAATATCGCTGAAATCACTCGAAACAACCCAAATGTGTATGTACTCCACAACAACGTGCTCCACTAAGAGCCTTGACACCTCGGAACACTTTGGCGCCCTGGAAGCTATATATGTTACGTCAAAGAGTAGTCTTCATTCTCCAGGGTTTGGCGCATCGCCAGGTGTTAACTACTACAGTAACTATCGCTAACCCGCTGAGTGCTTGTAACGATCTGACAAGGAATACCAAGATGAACGATTCCCCTTTTATTCAAAACGAGCCTATAGTACCAATATACTGTACTATGCCGTAGCTTGTGGGGGAGCTGCTTACTCCTGTACCAACGTGGCTTTGTATTGATGGCGAAACAAATGTGGACGTCGAATGTTGCCGTGGTTAGACGACTCCGCCAAATACCTAAGTACATATAACACGATGGTTAGTGATCCAATATACAACTCCAAAAACTAATGATTTATATTAAAACAAAACCACGTATATATTTCTAATATATATATATACGAAACCACGAACATATTTCGAAACAAACACACATCTATACCACGATGGTTAGAAATCCAATATACAATTCCAAAAACTAATGATTTCTATTACTACAAAACCACGTATATATTTCTAACATATATATATACTAGTATATATATATATACGAAACCACGTATAGTTAGAGATCCAATATACAATTCCAAAAACTAATGATGTATATTACAACAAAATATTACTAATATATATATGTAAATATATGCGAAACAAACCGTATATATTTCGAAACAAACATGTCTATATTTGTCTATATATTTCTATTCCACCAACGAAAATATCGATCGACCATCGTCACATACTATGTACTACTCACACAATCGATAGTACAGACACCCACTCAGCCCACCAACTAGTACTACTAGGTACTAGTAGTAAGAATGAAGTCTCCACTAGTACACACGGTTCTAACTCGAAGTCGTCCAACCCAATAAACAATAATAGCTAGACACTATTTCCTTCGACTTATTTGAAATAGATTGTTTCAGCATTGGATTTTTCCCATACTGGAACTGCGTGAACGCCCACTTGTCTAAGTCTGCATTCAACATAGCCGTAATGAGTCCGTGGCGAAGGGCGGCGGCTGCCGACAGTTTAGCGCCGAGAAAAAGCAAAGCATTAGCTTGGATGTATCCGAGCTTATAAATCAAAGCTGGAGCGGCAGGGATATGGGAGCCAGGAAGGATGTGAAAGGTCGCTCGTTCGTGGGAAAACACAACATCGGCGAGCCCGACTAGGGATACTAGAAACAATGGATGAATCATTGGAGACAAATATACTTTGATATATATATATATATATATTTAGATTCAAAGAACATGTGGATGAACCGGTATACTGTTCTAGTACTACTTCGTGGAAATATATATTTTAAATATGTATATATATAGAGAGAGAGAGATTTGAAGCCCTTACAGTACCTGCCAACCCACTCACAGGGCCGTGGACAACCACACCCAACGGTTTTGGGAAATCCACAATGACTTCGATCAACGCCTTAATATTGTTGCCTGGATAGAAATATTACGATATTATTGCCCAAATCAAGATAGAACAATATTAATTGCCTGAATAAAAAAAGTCAACTTCATTGTACGATCAACGATAGAATTAGTTTGAAACCCCCCAATCCTTGTAGCCAGAATGTCAATATAGTGCTAAAATGATTAATACAGCCAAATATAAATACTCATCCATAGAAGAATGAATAATGCTTTGATGTATTCATTCCTGGCACTCTAACATACTAGTAGATGGTGCTGGACTTGCGGTGCTTTGTTGTTGAAGCTTTAACACCAGCACTTTAGTCGCTGGGTCGTCGGTGGCCTTTTGAATGGCTGACGTGAGCTCATCAATAACCTCGCCCTCCAGCGGTGTCTTGGGGTCCCACGTCATGGTGACGATCCCTTTGCTAGTCAAATAGACAAATATAATCGATGTTGCATGGGAACTCTTCAGGATATATACGCATACGCTTGGGTGGAATGAATGATGCCGCCCGCCGCCTCGTTGGAGGATGATGTAGCAGTGGCAGCATCGTTTGACCCACTAGCACCTTTGGCCAGCCCGTCGATGAGGTCGCAGTAGCGCTTCTTCGCGTCATCGTGGCTCAACGTGCCTAGCGATGTCCATGCTTCCCATTTCGCTTTGCCCTAGGGGTGTCATGAGCCAGGATAGCAAGTGGTGGGTGGAAGCTTACGACGAAATCAAACATGCCTGGCTTGGGTTGCGTGTTGGGGCCGTCGGTGGCTTGCTTGTACAAGGCGTACATTTGGAGCTTGATGGCATTGTCCTCTAGCTTGGGCAACGTTTTACCCAGTGCAATCTTGTCCTGGAACAGAGCGTGGAGGCCCGTGGACAAGCCGCGGCGGCTGTGGACGATGACACCTCGGCGATGCAGCATCCTTGTTGACAAAACAAATTGGAAAGATCGTTTTATCGAGTTTCCATCGAAAGCTGTTTAAGAGGTCCATATAAAGTTTGGCAATTTCGCATGGATTACAAAATATATCAATAACGTACTATTGTGGATCGGGCACGGTCAATACAAATCGAAATATAAATAATAAAATAATATCAATTTCGAGAAAGTAAAACTACTGGCTTATATACAAGCGAGGCGCATCGTGATTTATAAGCACCAATCAGATTCAAAAATACTTTCCATGCGTTAAACCCGACCAATAGAGAAGCAGAGAAGCGATCATGAAATGCGTTAAACTCCATAACATAATATTTTGATTCATTTCGTTCAAGGAAATAGACCTTTTTGTCCAATAAGATTGATTTTTTTTATATTTCTCATTTGGTATATATATTTGAAGCCGATTTGCATCAATATAACATTCTCTGTTAACGACACTTCAAATAGACGATTCATTAGAATCGATTCGCAGTTTTTTTATTGCCCAATTTTATTGAAAATGGATGAAAACTGATGTATTTCGAGCCACTTAACGTCGTGCCTGATCCAGACAGACCCCTACAATACTGTAGTATTGGAAAGAGCGCTGATAGAGCTATTTCGAAACTGGGTTGAGCTAGAGTTTGCATTTCAACTGCTTTTCGTAAATCAATGGTGTTGCAAGGCGGTACAGGTATAACGTTCGCCCGACTCCCCGTCCGTAGATAAACTGTACTAGTGTTGGCTACGAGTTCCTATCGATTCCATGCGAAACCATCTACTCCGGAGTATTCGCCACCGGATGTGAAACTGATTTTTTTGTAACGGCTCATGTAACTGGTTTTTGCAGCCGACGCACATGGGCAATGTGGTGGAGCCGGTGCACCCGTCTGGGGGTGCCACCATGTCCTGTCGAGGGTCCTCGTCTTCGTTTACGATCGCCCCCAAAGCCAAACGGCACCCGGCGTACGTCATGTATTTCTACTTTGGATCATATGGACTAGTATATACTACTATAGTGTACTAGTATGATATATATGATGGAATCATCGTGAAATCATCTCTAGGGCAATCACAACGGGGCATATCTTGTTTGTCGGGTTGGACGGAAGTGGCAAAACCAACCTCGTGCAAGGTACAGTACATAACATGTACATATACCATCCTTCAGGCGTATATATAATATATATGTATATATATATACGATCAAAGAATAACGCGGTTGCCTTGGTTTGTGTCAGGGCTTGCGAATATGTGTACCCCCACAACCCCCATCGACAAAGACCAGCATGTGTGGGCCACATCAAACCCCCTGCCCAGTCGATTTCCGGTGATCAAGTCGGTACAGCTCAATCGACGCGAGGTTAACCTGCTCGCCGTGCCAGGCAGCCGAGACTTGCGATATCTCTGGTTTGTAACTTAGCTATGTCGTTTCGTTCCTGTAGCTGGCTACTATGTAATGACTATATTGTAGGTACACAAGTTTGACCAGAGACGAAATCAGCGCTATATGTTTTTGTGTGGACATCAGCGACACGATCCGGTTTCCGCTCGTGGCGTTGGAACTGCAACGACTCCACGAGTTCCAACACTCAAACAATCTCGCGACGTCTTGGTTGTTGTTTACCAAATCCGATTGCATCCAAGTAAATATATATAACAAACACACCACATCTACAATATACTACAAGGCGAAGACTGACTGAACGAGCGTAACGTTACCCTTATGTAGGTAAAGAAGGGCACCGCCGTGGATACGTACGAGCGGCTCAAAACGATATGCACCCAGCTGAAAAAAGAACCGTGCAATTGGGGGTTTACAGTCATGCCCCTGGTGAACTCCAACCTTGAAGGAAGCCTCTTGGATGTGAAAAATTGGATTCAGGAAACTTTGCCCCCGAAACCGTAGAGATAACTGTGGCAAGCGACCACCAGCTTATCTAACTAACTGGTAGTTCAACGGGAGGACATTTGTTCTTCGCAATCACGGGGTTACCGCGGACGTCTTGGCAACATACTTGGGGGATACCGCTACCACCAGGGCCCTCGTTCACAAAAGTCCAGTATGGTAAACCAAGGCAGCACTTTCGATGGTTGGGGTTCTGGCACTCGATAATAGTACCGTTCAAGGTTTTGCAGGGCACCAAGTTGCCACAGTCGATGATGGATTCCGCCATCGTGGTGGCCACAACAATGGCGAGGACGATGGTTAATTGCATGGTGGCGTTAATTGGAATATGGCACTTCGGTGCCAATCGAGAGCCATCACGAGAAGTCATTTTTCGTCGATATGAAATGTGATGCAATTTGACTCAATACGCGACTTTGCTGCAGAGGTTGCGACGAACGTCAACAACATTCGCAACTGATATTCCGAAGCTTTTACAAAGTGTAGGAAGTTACATTATTGCATACATAGAACTCTTGTGAACCTGTGGCGCCAACTAATATCGCCATGACGAAGAGGATTACATTCATCCTTCCAGCCGTCGTTAGCCGCCCAATAATGCACCATGGTTCGTTCCCACAAAGTCCAAGGATAGCTCATCCAATGTAAAATGTGATGTTTATTTTTACAGTCCTATTGTGCTTGTACTTTGGCAACTGTACTGGAGCTGCTGCTATCGATTTGCTTCGACCCCCAGACTACTTCCAGAGGGAAAGAGTGCAGGGTGGACAGTACAGCCCCCATACAGACCGTCGAATCCGGACTACATGGTCACTCCAATCGGCTGGAAAGTGTACGTGAGTGTCGTGGGGGATGTCACGTACATATTGCATTGGTGGACCCATCTGCAGCGGACTGTTGCCTGCTGGAACCAACCGCCCCCAGAAGGGGCTACATGTCGCTGCGGCCTTCGTCAAAGTGTTGTTAAGTTTAGGAATTGGCCAGTGTGTAGCACGAAAGGATGTTGTATGCTAGGATATTTCGTCGGGGGCGTGGGGTGTGTGTGTCTGGAAGGCGAAGTGAGATGCACTATCAACACATGCCGTTCTTCATGGTAGAATTATCACACTGAAACATTAACATCAGTAACGAGCGATACTACCTAGCTATTAACATTGCAGTGAAACGCCAAACCCCCTCTGTATATTTCGGGTACAAAAATGCAACTTGACATGTTGGCTTCTTGAAATACTTATACATACGGTATACACCGAATTCATCTGACACTAGGATGCGGCGATGACCCCGTGAACTTTCCATACTAGTTAGCATTATACTTTAAGTACAGGTAGAATGCCACTTACAATGTTAATTCGTTGCCAGATAAACTACCGTTAGAATCACCTAGCCGACACATTCAATCCCCGTTGGCCACAAGTAGTCGTACCATATTCGACAAAGTCGATGTCTTACAGGAGACATGTCAAGTATGTATAATATAATCATAATACATACAGGCAATAGTCAAATTCACACTTCGCTCCGTTGCAACGTTCGATAATGCTTTAATAAATTACTCCTCACTTTTTATATGGTACTACTATTCCTAGTTGATGCTGCCACATGTAAACAACCTCACAAGAGGCGCAACAAGTCATCGTTGTCGTGGCCTCTGTCGGACAAGTCGAGCATTGGTATCATCATCGCATTCAGCATATCGTCGCCGATCATGGGCAAATCTTCGAGCGAATACAGTGTCGCAACGTCGAGATCCAACGAAGGGGATCGTGCAGTTGAGGCTGTGTGAAGGTATGGATGCTTGCCCCGCGGACTCCTCGCGGACGTCCATGCTTCGACGTCGGCCAAGAACAATTGCACTTCATCTTCCCCACCAAACGCGTGGCCCATCTTGAGGTGGCCTTCGAACCCGAACCGACCGCCTTGTCCTACCACCAATCTCGTGGTTCCCATCGAGTGAAAGTCGTAGTGGACGTCTGTAAAGTGCATGAGCCCGGCGAGGCCACTCTCATAGCGCCATGAATGGCCTGTGATCTCATATCGCTCGACCCCTCGGAGCTGCCACAGGGCCCAGCCCAGGTACACCCACAACGCAAACGCGATGGGAACCGCGCACAATGCAATGACATGGACAGGAATCTCATGCACGAACATGACAGGCACGGCGGCGGCAAACGGAACATGCACCGTTGTCCACAGGCACAAGCGTCCGATGTGAGGACACACGGGTACAACCACTTGAATGCCGCCTCCAGCGGGCAATGGATGGACTGTGTACCTTGTCTTGGGCTGATGCTGCTCCTGCTGGGCCATAGTATTGTTGTGGCGACGTAGAAGGAGCTCTTCCCGACTACTGACCACTTCCGTGGTGAACATGGTGATTTGGAAATGAGGCCAGATGCGATTGCTATATGATCCGGTGGTTCTGCGTTCTCATTGGTGCATTGAAACACCGTTCACGCGTCGGATTGGGCCATCGGGAAACCGAACGTTCGAAGAACGCCCTATTTTTACTGATGGTATTTTTGTCCGAAATAAATACATATATCGGATTTTCTTAATTTTGACTTTAAAATCGATGATATCTTAGCACTTGAAAGTGACGTTGTGGTAGAATGCACCTGTCTCATTATTTCATCGGCTTGAATTGACTTCAACTTAGCGTTCATTTACTTCGATTTCAACTCAAATCAAGGCAAAATAGCAGCTTATTATGGTGCACGGTTAACACCTTACAGTTAATATATGCGGTTTTACTTACAGTTTTTGATGATTTTACTTTTCTAGTAATTCGATTGGCTTTTCCAAAACTCAAGCAATTCCATTGGCCAATTTGAGTACACCATAAACTGGCTAACTAGGGTAAGCACAAGTTGCTCGCTCTCAGCTAACGTTAATTATTATGCCACGTCCGCGATTGACCTCAAATTGTCAAATTGCTTTTATCAAGGTAATCGTACCAGTCGTTTCTACGAAGGATGATTGTGTTGTTCGCGCCCCTGATCTGCCCATACGAGTTCGCTTAGAGGGTGTACTAGTTCGTAAAAATCGAAAATCCATTGCGGTCGTTCCCCCAGTCGCCAAATAAAGTCTTCAACAATCTGGTTGAACCTGACATGAGCGTAACTAGAGCTATTTTTTACAGGTTGCATTTTGAACAACTCAATACTATCGCTAGTAGTCGTCGTTTAGCTTGTGCAGGCGGGGTGACACAGAACTAGCGTGGGGTACGAAGCAACCTTTGCACAATACTCGCTATTCTTAACGTTCAAGCGGTGCTATTCCGTAGTACCACTGTACATAACGTTATCTCCAAAAATGTAACTGCAAAAAGCCGCCCAATAAATAATACTACGTAGTACGGTGCAATGGTTTCCATATTATAATCACAGCAACTTGTACTAACTTACTTGAAGGTTCGCATAACGCAATATGTGTGGAGTGAAAGGGGAGGGTTCTGACTCGACCCTAACTAGCCTTCCTGGTGTCGATGCAAGGTCCTGAGGAAACCTGGGACTGAACCAGCGACCATCGGTGTGTTCTTGTCATACTTAGATCAGGTGTAAAGTGATCTATAAGTAGACGCGCTCCCAACTGAGCCAAAAGAACTGGTCAATTTGGACATGAGATTGTACTACGAGAATGAGTACTCTCGACTTGTGGCATTCATGATAGTGACATGACAAAACACTTGTGGGAACGAACTACTATACATACGTACAGTATGCGAGTGAACATTCGAACCAACTAAACACACACATTCTCACGAATACATAATAAGTCTTCGTTTCAATAGTAGTACATATTAACAAGTTAGGCCGTGGCGGCAACGTCCTTCTTGGCCGCGTCTTCGGCCTCCTTCTTCTTGAGGTCCGCCGCGCGCTTGGCGCTAAACCACGCGTTGATTTCGTCGTCGGTGACGCCGCTCTCGCCCTGCTTCCACGCCGCGAGGAGTTCCGTGGGGTTAATCAAAATACCATACTGGTGACGCGCCACCAGCTTGTGGGTCGACTTTTCGTACACGAGCACTCGGGGGGCCGCGAGGGTGTTGCGGTCGTTGTCCTTTGTCATGATCTTGTCCACGTTATACAGCGTCTTGGCCAGATCCTGGCTCCACTTGAACCGGAGGAGGTCCGTACCCGCCACGACCTTGTCGGCATCGCTCTCCTCCACGTCCAGGCTGTAATAGATGGCGCTGACGTCCTCAGGGTGCTCGCTGGCGAAGCTCGCGACTGCCGACGTCAGCGAGTCTTCAGTTTGGGCCCATTTCGCGCCAAAGTACAAGATGATGAACTGGTTCAAACTGTCCACCGCTACGGGGCGCCCCTTGGCGTCCACGATCGATTCGAGCGGCAAGTGCGGCAAGATGTCCACCTCGGGCAGATCCCCGCGGGTGGTTTCCCACCACTCTTTGGCCTGTTCGTCCGTGATGTCCTCGCCGCGCTTCCACTCTTCGATCACGGTCGCGGTGCGCGATCGGATGCTCACAGCCGCGCGCTCCGACAGCACTTTGCCCGTGTCCCGGTCCACAGCAAACAGCGTCGGGATGCCCAAAATGGACGGGTACGCGGCCTTGAGCTGCGCAAACACTTTGATGTTGGACTCTGACCACTCGTACCGGTTGTACGTGGGCTTGGTGCTCAGGTTGAAGTCCTGCATGGTCGAGTTGATGTCGCGAGAAAAGTACACAACCGACACTTGGTCCTTGTTATCAGCGGCAAACTGCACCAGGCTCGGGGTGAGTGCACGACAGGGCGGACACCAGTATGCCGATAGAAGCACGAGCACGATCGGGTTGAGGTCGTTGATCGTGATGGACACGCCGTTGGCGTCGGTCAAGTTGGCCGGCTTGGCCTCGCCGTTGTAAAAGTCAGACCAGAAACCTTGGGGAGCAGTGTGGACCATGTTGCGAAAGGGGAAATGAAAGGAACTACGTAGTACATTGGAGGTTTGTACATGTGAGAAGGTGACAATTATGCGGCGCGTTTTGCCGCCGCCTCGCTGAGATTGGGTTTCCAGCTGGGGGCTCAGATGGAAATCGCCCAATGGCCTTGGAGTATCGTCCAAAACGTCATTTCATCCGACCAATCAAATCGCAAGCCTCGTGCATGTCAATGGACAACTGGTGGAATGATGGGGACGAGTTCATCACTCAGCAAGACGACCGCCCCTGAGACTTGCGCAGTGGTTCTCGCTTCTGAATGACTGGCCGTGGCTTGAGAGTGTGACGGACAATCCTCAATCGTCATGAGCGCGCAAGGTATATTTAAGCCCTGCTTACAGCACATCAACAATATTGTGAACACTTGTGAGTGGGAGAGTAAGCGGCTGTGATTGGCTCGTGCCTTTCCAATCGCAGACGTGGGTGTGGACAGGTCACAGGGAACTTCCGAGGTTGTTTGCAAAAGTCCCCACCCAATACATTGTGACGAGTACCGTAGAAATTGGCCGGTGGGTCGCAAGCAAGCTTGTGTTTGGACGTGAAGCTTAACGTTATAGACTTTGTCGATACTTGCGACACATTTTACTCACATGCCGTGCAGCAGTGGAAGCAATCGGGAATTGCTTTCACAGTCAGGAGGATTACAATTCGTCTGATACGTGCAGTTGCGGCGTCCTTGCTTAAGGCTCGCGTAGTAAACATGGGCTGTGAATCGATGTGAGGGCCTTAAGTTGAAGTTCCCACTTTCACATGCTAATACTGTACAGTAGCTCAGCGGTTACCAAGAATATAAAATTAATGTACGGTACGATCTACAGTAAAATGAATGCTTCTGGTACAGTGGTTACCTAGAATTAAATATTACTATTAATACGTAATATACGTGGCATTCCATGCGCACTCTTTTGCTGTGTTGTTTCAAAAATATATAAAAATAGAAAAAAGTGACAAAAGGGGGAATTGAATCTTCCGCATGCAGACTGTTTGCCACTGAGCTACAAGTATTACTGGTGCTACAGTATTTGTTTAACACGACTTTCGAAAGCTACCAATCACACGTCGGTTGTTGTGTTCAATGACGCCAAATATCCGCATATTTGGGCCAAATGTGGAGATTTTAGTGGATATATCCGGATATTTCGAAATTCCATTGACACTGTGAACACGTTTTTTTTTCAATGTCCCAGATATTCCCAAGCCAAATATCCGCCACAAATATCCATGTCTGGAGCTGGATATTTTGGGGGGGGATGATGGGGCAAGGTGCTTGATATCCAATAAATTCATTTGCACAGGGAACGGACCTGTCGTGGCAACATGGAGTCACAACCCTTCCTTGCACCATGTTGGCGCAAGGTCTCTTAACACTTATGGGTAGGGAGCTGGCGAGGTGTTTGTTCTATTCTACACAGGTTTGCACACAGGTGTACTCGTACATTGCAAGCCTTCGAAGACAGGTTGCACAAGCCGAGACAGTTGTGGGATCAACGCTGGCAATCGATACCGCTGGCAACCGATACCGCAACTTTATCGGCTCGTTCATACGGATTAGGTGGGCGGGCGACATTCACTGCGAGCACTGTACAGTACAACCAACTGATCGGCGTACGCACATATTTGCCCGAGTCCCGTTGTCGCGGGGTTTTACGACAAGTTAATGGGTAGGCGCGGCGCAGGCAAACAAGGAGACTCAAACCCAGGTGTGGAGTTCGAGGCAAAATGTAAAGTCGAGTTAGTTAAATATGTGGTCGTGGCTGTAGGTAGTCCTAATGCTCTAAGTTCTACTGCATCGGCAGTTGATGGTTGAGGGATCTCCGTCTTGGTAGATCTTCGACACCCGTATGACGGTCCTGGTCATCGAGTTTGGGAGTTATATAAGGTCTGGGAGGTCTAGCCGGAACGGGAAAGGCAACGCGGTCTTCAGGGAGGTCAGATGGTCGATCAGGGCCTCGTCTGGCTTCGCAGTCTCGGCAGGGTCATGGACCCTGCAGTCGCACCGTGACATTCTCCCCCACTTAGGCCCGAAGCTCCGTCTCGGGCTTCAGTCAGTTCACGGGGCATACAGTCGGTGTAACTGGTCGATAGGATGGGCCAATCCTGGGGCGCCTTGAGTGGCTCTCGGTCCCAGGTCGCGAGTGATTGGGCAAACCAAGTAGCCCCGGGAACACCGTTGGCCGGGATCTTCCTCAACCAGGGACAGGACAGCGGAAGGGTCTGGCCCCAGGTCGTCTTCATTGCACTTTCGCATTCGCCATGTCCACGCCACCAGCTCCTGTTCCGCCGGCCGGGTCCTCCGCTCCAGCGCCAGACGCATCCCACTCATTTCTGGTGCCGCCAGGATCGTCGTCGGCCGCGGCAACCGGGCCGTCCACCGCACCGGCTTCCAGCCCTCCTGGTCTTTCTGGTGCCAGTGCGCCGGCCGTTGAGTCGTTGTGCGCGTCGTTGACTCGGTCGGCCTCGGAGTGCGCCTTGTTGTCGGCCAGCCTGGACAGTGCTCGGGCGGCCGTCCAATCCACCCTGGTCACGGCAAGATCCCTTCTGGGTGACGGCGGTCCAGGTTCCACTCTCCGTGCCATCCAAGAATTTGTCTCGGCCAAAGAGGCCGCCGAGAAGCTCCTGGCCCGAGTGCAGGCCGACCTGGTGGAGCGCGAGACCGACCTGGTCGTCGAGCGCAACTCCCGTGTTGCGGCAGAGGCGTACGTGGCCGCCCTCCGGGATCAGCTGGACACCGAGACTCGTCGCGCGGCGGAGACCATTGGTCAGCTGCGTGGCGAGTTGGCGGTTGTCAGCAACGAAGTCGTGGGGTGGTCCAAGCGTTTCCAGACTGTCGACGCGACGGAGGCCTCCCTTCGGGCATTCATCGCGTCTCTGAAGGACTAGTTGGAGACCCAGAGTCAGCAAGCGGCATCCCTCCAGTTGGACCTTGATCGTGCCTGCGTCGAGCGAGATTCGGCTCGCCAGGACGCCAGCCAGAAGAGCGCGCAATTGG